GAGCTCACTGCCTTCTGAAGCAACTGCTTCCATGCAGGGCTGTGCTAAGCCTCTTCCCCAGACCACTACAGTCAGCCTCCCCAGCACATCCTCCTGCCTGCCCTCCACCCTCAGCACATGTCTCAGCTGAGTCTTCCTGACAGCCTCCCATCTGTTCCCTGCTCCAGGCTGCCCCCTTCCCGTCCCCCTTCCCCCATGAACCCAAGTGGCCGCAGGGGACTGCACATCTGACCATCTCCCTCTTCTGCTCAAAGACCTGCTCTGGCTCCCTGTTGTCTCCAGGAGACGTCCAGCTGCAGCCAGCTGCTCACAGGACACCCGAGGCCCTTCCTGTAGAGACCCCCACTGAGCTTCTGCGTGCTCAGCTCATCTCACCTGCCCCAGCCACCCTCGGCCACACCCGTTTCTCAGAACAGACAGTGGTCTTCCTGCCGGCCAAGCCTCCAGGCCTTGGCCTGCAGGTGTCTTTCTGCTGGGAGCTCCCAACCCCACTCTCCTTAACCTTTGAGACCCAACTCAGACATCCCTCCTCTGGGAAAGCTTTCTTGCCTTCTTCCCCTGCCTGCACCTCCTAGGAGCCCCCGCCGCCTCCCCTCTGCCCTGTGTTGTCTAGTGCAAGTTCAAGCAGGATCAGACCTCCCGAGGTCACAGGCCAAGACCCTTCCCCCTAACCTCCAGACTCCAGTGCCCGGGCCCAGTGGGTGAGAAGAGGCCCCCAGCAGACACTTTACATAAAGCATTCAGCGCAACATCCAGCAGATTGTGAGCTTCAGATAAATAGAAGCCACTATGACGAATAGTTACGAACTTCTCAGGTGGCTCAGCGAGTAAAGAATCTGCCTGCAATGCAGGAGACACATGAGAGACAGGTTCGATCCCTGGGTTGGGAAGAAACCCTGGAGGCGGGCTTGGCCACCCACTCCAGTATTCTTGCCTGGATAATTCTATGGACAGAGGAGCCTGGAGGGCTATGGTCCATAAGGTTGCAAAGAGTTGGACATGACTGAAGCAACTGAGCATGCATGATTAAAAGTCAACAGTAACTGGTATTATCCTCATAGCTATCCCAAAGGGTGCCATTTCATAGGTGAGAAAATCAAGGCAAGAAGAGGGAAAATGACTGTCCATACTCTCAGCTGGGAGTCAGACCACTAGAAGCAGTGTTTCTTTATCACGCTGCCCTGCCTTCCTAACTGGGCAGGCAAGACCATTTACCGTCTATTCAGGAAGTATTGACTTGGCCAAAAGGGTCGTTTGGGATTTTCCATATGATGTTACGGAAAATCCCGAATGATCTTCTTGGCCACCCCAATATTTGTACACACCTTCTAAGTGCCAGGCCCGGTGTGAATGCTACAGATACGGAAGAGACCCTGCCTTCATGGAAGGTCCTTCTCCCAGGAGAAGAGAGATCAACAAAGTCGGCACACAAATGCATACCTAAATCATAAAGCTTGCTCTGTGACAGAAAGGAAAAATCAGGAGCCTGTGAAATCGTGACTTGGCCTAGGGTGACCCAGATGGGGAAGCTCTAGCTAATCTAGTTAACTCTTTGCTGTCCAGCCAGAGACCACCCTTCCAGGCCAGTTTAGGGCCTGGAAGAGGGGGCTGGCTGCAGCCCCCTGGCACACCGCCCCCCTCTACCCCAGCGCCGGCTCCGCCAGCCCGCCCGCCACCCCTGTCTCTCTGAAGACTGTCCCTTTAGAACTGCCCTTTTTTCCACTGAAGGATTCAGACACAAATTGTACTTTAAATTCAATATCGGTCATTAATATTTCATGATTACAAAACGTTAAAGATAATGTCAGTGGAAGCAGCGTCTGCATGGGCAGAATGGATGACTCAGAAGTTCGGGGGAGAGGGGAGCCCGCATGCTAAGTGGCTGGGGAGTCTTTGAGGTAATCCGGCCTGACAGGCCGCGGCTGTGCCTCAGTGCTGCGTGCTCAGAGGGGCTCACAAGCCTCTGCCGCTGTTTGTAAATATTTCCCCTCTGATTCTTGTCACCTCATGTTTGTTGCACCCGCAGCAGGCGGGGCACCATGACCCCGCCACCGGACCCCCGCCTCGGTCCCCTGTTTCTGAGAAGCCAAATAGAGGCTTTGGCAGAAGGGCACCAGGGTGGGGGTGGGGAGACCCCAGGGCATTGTCCTTGAGGCTCCGGCCTGGCTGTGGGAGCCCTGCCCACCCCCACCCCCCAGTGACTGGCTCTGTGACTTCGGGGCCATCGCTGTTCCTTCCTGAGCCTCTACTTCCCAGTCTGTAAAGTGGGGATAACAATTTGTCCTCGTCTCATGGAGAGGGCAAGAAGCTGGAGCGGGTGGATCGCTGGCGCCGCTCCTGGCTTCGTGCCTGGCACCAAAGACATATGACTCGGGGGCTGCTGGGTGAACGCCGGACCGTGCAGTCAGACTGGCTGGGGCCGGGAATTTGGACAAATGACTTCACCTCCCCGAGTCTTAGTTTCCTCATCCATACGTTGTGGGTGATGGCAGAATCGACGTCTGATAAGTGGGGAGCTTCAGCGAACACAGCACTGTAAAGCGCCTGGCACAGAGTGAGTGCTTAAGGCAAGTGCACCGAGTCCAGATGGATAGATATCATCAACTGAGCACTAAGTACCAGGCTAAGTTCTTTCTATCCTATTTAATCCCCCCACCAGCACAGTGAAGTGGGAACCACTCATTTTCTCATTGATTAATATCCCCGGTGAGACTTGGGCAGGAGTTGTGAATTGCAGCTCCGAGGGGAGTGGTCTCTAGCCCAGTCTTTTCCTTCCCCACGCTCAGTTACTGGGATGGTGTGGGGGCAATAGGGGTGGGGCCCAGAGAGCAGAGTACCAAGAAAAGGGAGGCCGTGGAGCAAAGCTGTGGAAGAAACCAGGAAGACTCAGCCCCAAATCCCGGCTCTGTCACTGCACATCCTTGGGCAAAGCCCTTAATAGTCTGAGCCTCGATTTTCCCATCAATAAAATGGGTGCTGACCTGTAACTGATCATGATTCAATAGAAGTATGTGCTAGAAAGGATCAAGCTCAGTATCTATTAGGCAAACACTGTAAGAATCTCTGCTGGGGAGAGTCCCCTGACACACTCTCTCTGTGAAATGGCAGCATTAGAGATTCTGTATGCTTCTCTAGCTGCTTTCTGGAAGAGATTCACAGGGCAGAAGCACAATGCTTAACCCAAGAAGGAACGGGCTAGTGGTGGGCCGTTGGGCGGTGTGACAGCCGGTGGGGAGATGCTCTGTGTAGGGAGAGGCGGCGTCTCTGCCCAGCAGCCCGACCAGGCCCCCTGGCTGCCCAGGAAGCAGGTTCAGGGAGGTAAGGAGGGGGAGCTGCCTTCCCACCAGTCCAGCCGCCACTTCCTCTCCAGCCACCTTTGTTATCTCCCTTTCATGCGGTGGAGAAGTGGATTCAAAGGCTCGGGAGCAGCAGGCACTGAGGTTTGAGCCAGCTTTGTATTTTCTTTTAAACCGAAGTTGAAAGAGACGAAGGGAACTTCAGCCTAGGGACTTCCTCGGCTGGAATGGGCTGCTGGGGCCAGGGAAGTGGGAGGCACCAGCCGGGGAAGGCGGAGGAGGAGCGCCTCCAGGAGGGCTCGAAGGGGCAGGAGGGCCTTGGGGCCCAGGTCTGCAGAGGGGAGGCTGAATGGCGCCCACTCCCACCGAGGCTGAGACTGAGTATTCCTGCTGTCACCATCGGTTACTGGAGGCTCTGCTGGCTGCTGAGGCCTGGAGAGCTGACAGGACGGGGAGCTTGTGGAGCCGGTCCGGCACCGGCACGGGCAGCGTGGCTCTGGTTGAGGAGGAGGCCTGCTGAACTGCCCTTTCTCCTGGGGTGCCATGAACCCCTATGCTCTTAGCTCCTCCCCTCCGTGGCCTGATTTGTCCAGACTCCATGTCCCAGGGCCTCCTCTTTCTTTCTCAGCTCACACGCCTCCCCAGCTGCACCAAACTGCCTGTGACATTCGAGCACACACACACACACACACACTCTCTTCAACACAGGCCAAGCACCTCGGAGTCATTCTTGACCCTCCGTCTCTTTCCTCCATCTCACCCCATCAGCAGGTCCAGGGGGCTCTATTTTCAGTCTGCCTCCAAAAGCTGACCACTTCTCACCATTTCCATGGCTATCACCCTGGGCCAGGCCACTGTCGCATCTTCAGGGACCTGCTGCGTGCAAATCCCAGCTGAGCCCCTGCTCCTTCCCCCCACCCCGCCCCTGCCCTGCAGCCCCCAGACAATCTATTTTCAACGCGGCAGCCATAGGTATCATGTCAGGCAACCTCCCTCTTCTGCTCAAACCCCTCAGTAACTCCCGCCTCATTTGGAGTCAAGTCCAAAGACCCTGCAATGGCAGACACTCTGCCCCTCACCAGCCACACTGGCCTCCTTGCTATTTCTCCAGTTATGACCCCAGGGCCTTTGCACTGGCTGTTCTCTCTCCTCAGAACTCTCTTCCCTCCAATGGCAGCATGACCCCCTCACTTTCTCGAGCTCTCCTTTGAATAGTCTCCTTTGCAGAGAGGCCTACCCTAAGAGAAACAATTCCCTCCTAATCCCTTTCCTCTGCTATCTTCTTTTCCAGTTTCTTGTTAGCACTTAGCATCAGCTGACATGTGAACACCCTTTCTTGAAGTTTGCTGAAGGTCTAGCTCTAGCCCATGGAGAAAGAAGGTGTTTCTTTTTTTATCTTGTTAGGGGCTATAGCTCCAGCCTCTATAAAAAGGACTGGTGTATAGTAGGTGCTCAATAAAAGCTGAAGGAAGAAAGCCAAACTCAAGACTGGGCCCTGCCTTTTTGGCTTGGGATCCTTCCCAGGTCTGTGTTCCTGTGGGTCAGCCTTTGCCGACCACGCCCCCACCGCAGCTCTGCCCGGTTTCTAACTTTTTGCCTTGGCCCCCAGCCTTCGGCCCCTCCTCCCTGGGTTTTGCCCCGCCCATAGCCCCACCCTTCGGTCATCGCCCCTCCCTTCCGTATTCGCCCCGCCCCCTGGCTCACCAGCCTCCATGGCCAGCACTGTGATGTTGTGCCAGCCGGCCGTCTCTCGGTCCAGCCCCTTGCCGGTGACGATGGCACCCGTGTCCGCATCGATATCAAAGATCTGGTCCAAATCTGATTCGCGGTCAATGGCGTACCTAAGAGAAGCAGGTCAGGGCTGATTGAAGGTGTCCTGGCGCCGTTGGAACAGGTGCCCATGTCCCTCCAGCCTCCTCCTAAAGAGGAACCACCTGCCTGGGAGACACAGGAAGCAGAGACCCTTTCCGGCAGAGGAGGAGTGGAAATGGATCCGAGTTTGCATCTCAGCTGCACTGGGTTCCTGACGTGTGACCATGGGCAACGCTCAACCTTTCTGAGCCTCAGCTTCCTCAGCTGGATAACGGGGCTAATAATTTGCATCTCGGGGTCGTTGTGAAGGCAGGAAGAAGGTAAAGGGCCCAGCAGAGTTAGCACTCACGGGGTATTTGATTCTTATCTTTCCATAAGAGGTGACCCTAGAACTGGGCTTGAGAAAGGGACAGGGTGGCATTCCAGGCATGGGGAACAGAAGCTGCAAAGTGAGAACTGCGCTAATGAGACTCATTCAGGGGACGGCAAATGGTGCAGAAACGGCCAGAACTGGCAAGTGCGGAGGAGGAGGCTTGAGAACAAGCAGAGTGCAGAATTCAGGGCGTTGGGGGTCCTGGGGAGCCTAGAGGGATTTTGAGCAGGAGGGAGGGAGTTGGCTGTGCCACTCCGAGGCTCTCCGGAGGCCCCAGACCTGGAACGCGGGCTGAGCCGGGAAGGGGTCTGAAGTCTGGCCGCCGGCCCCTCCCCGCCAGCGCAGCGCGCCCGTGCTAATCTGCGGCTTTTCACTTGCCGCGTGAAAAAGCCCTTTGTTCCGCCTCCTTCCCGGGCCTTTGTGCGGCGGCTCCAGGCCTGAAAGGCCCGTGTCCAACACATGTCTCGGGCGGCGGCGGCCCAGAGAGGCCCCGCCAGCTCTGTCCGCCGCTTCCCCGGGCTGATAACGCGGGCGGGGGCGCCGCCAGGCTGCGCGGCCTACAAAGGCCCCCGAATGGCAAGCAAGGGCTCTTTGTGCAGCGGGGACAATGGAGCCTGGTGGGGCGGGGCACCCCTTCCCCTTTCTCCAGCCGGAGGAAACAAGCCCTTCCCGCATCTTCCGGAGCCCGGACACTGAGGCCCACGGAGAGGACGACACCAGAACACCCCCTTCCCTACCCACATTGAAACTCAAAGCCCTGAGATGACCCTTCGGTGGGCCTTGGCTGCATTACCAAACCACTCCAGGCCTCAGTTTCCTCATCTGTTGAATGGGGATAATGATACCCAGTGCATGTGGGAGGGGTTTCCCAAGTAGGCCCTGGTAAAGAACATGCCTACCAATGCAGGAGATGCAAGAGACATGGGTTTGATCCCTGGGTCGGGAAGATCCCCTGGAGGAGGAAATGGCAACATACTCCAGTATTCTTGTCTGGAAAAATCCCATGGACAGAGGAGCCTGGAGGGCTACAGTCCATGGGGTCGCCAAGAGTCGCAAACTACTGAACACAGCGGTAGCAGTGGGACTGCAGAACTCTGGGAGCAGGTGGAGCTGGCTTTGAATCCTCTGCTTATTTACACCTGGGTGACCTTGGACTAGGCACTGGACTTCACTGGCCTCTGTTTACTTGTCTGCAAAATAGGGTGATTCATACCTCACTAGTGTGGGTTAGAGGAGGTAATCCATGGAACTGGGCAATGGTGACAGCCCTTACTGTTTTCATATTCACTGTAGTAGTGGAGGTGGAAGCTTGTGGCAGACTGCAAAGGGCTGGGCATGAGGGTAGAGTGGGCATTACAGCTAGTCTCCTGAGGCCCTAGGTTTTTTTCTTTTTCAGCCATGCCACACAGCATGTGGGATCTTAGTTCTTTGACCAGGGATTAAACCCACATCCCCTGCATTGGAAGTGAAGAGTCAACCACTGCACCACCAGGGAGGCCCCCCGAATCCCTGGTTTAATGCCACCTCCTCTCTCTAAATTGCTAAGCCCACATCCTCTTTGGCCCTGATCAGCCTGGGTCCTCCTGACCTGGGTGAAAGTGTATGGGTCAGATCTAAGATGATAATTCCTCCCATCAGGACAACACTTAACAGTCTGTAGCTTACTTTTCCGCCAGCCATCCCTCCCTTCGTTCCTTTATGCCTAAACATTACCTGAATGCCTTCTCCGTGCTGCTCTGTGCTAAAGTGAAAGTGAAAGTCAGTCTTTGAGACCCCGTGGACTATACAGTCCATGGAATTCTCTAGGCCAGAATACTGGAGTGGGTAGCCTTTCCCTTCTCCAGGGGATCTTCCTAACCAGAGATCAAACCGAGGTCTCCCACATTGCGGGCGGATTCTTTACCAGAGGAGCCACCAGGGAAGCCTAAGAATACTGGAGTGGGTAGCCTATCCCTTCTCCAGGGGATGTTCCCGACACAGGCATCGAACCAGGGTCTCCTGTATTGCAAGTGGATTCTTTACCAACTGAGCCACAGGGGAAGCCCACTCTGTGCTAAGCTCTGGGGGTAAAATGGCAAATGAGACAGATGAGGCCCCGCCCTGCCTGGCATCTTGTGAGGCTGATGTGTGGTAAACCCACTTTGCAGATGAGGACAAGAGAGGCAGCTTCCCAAGCTTAGGGCTGCCAAGTATGGTTGTGCAGGCTGTGTCCTGCGCAAAGTTACTAGGCTGAAGAGGGGTAGAGGGGATGAAGACCAGATGGTGTTCTTCTTGCCCAGCCACAAGTGCTAGCTCAGGGAGCATCTTCTCAAAGGAGGACCTTTTTCTTATTTACGAAACGTGCCACATGGGCTAGTGAAAACCCTGCCTAAGGTTGCACGGGGACTGTCAGAGAACTGGAATTTGTACCCCAATTTGGGACCCTACACCCAGAGTTCTTTCTAGCGCATTGAACCATCCAAAGCAGCAATGCATGCAGTCTCGGGTCACTGTGGACCCAAGCCTGAACTGCTGGATGTTTGGGTCCAAAGGAGGTAGAACCAGACTCAGTAGTGTCGGCTCAGTTGGAAGGAACCATGGAGACCTCCTCTTGATTTTACAGGTAGAAGTGAGTCCAAGAGGCCCCTGAGTGAGTCAGGGGCCCCTGATCACCTGGTCGGGGCTGGGCATGAGGCAGGGCTGATGGGAGGATGCCCACCGCCTTCTTCTTTCTCCTCTCTCTGCTCAGACCTCTGTCCTCTCTTCTCTTTCCTCCCAGTTACTCTTTTGTTTCCTCCTGGGGGGGAAGAGGGGGATGGATTCTAAGTGGAGGCAGCTGTTCCCAAGGCCATAGGGAGGGAGGGGGTGGTGTGGGGAGCCACCATCTTCCAGCTGAAGACTGGGGGCTGCAGGTCGGTGTGGCTGCCCAGACCAGGGGGCTTTGTTCCAGCTCAGGGAGCCAGTGAGCGAGAGAGAGGGGTGGGTGGAAGGCATGGCACGTGGAAAGGAGCGTGGCCTGGCAGGTGTGGGGGGCAGCGGGGGAGGCTTGAGGCCGTCACTTGGCGGCGCTCAAGTTGTGTGTCTGGTCTGTGTTGCAGGTGGTCAGTGCGTGTGTGTGATGCTGTGTTACAGCTGGAAGGTACAAGAGGTGGGCGCTCAGACTTGGAGCAGGATCCACAATGACCCCAGGCAAGCCACTTCCTCTTTGAGCCTTAATTTTAAGGAAAATGGAAAAGTGATTTTACTCCTATCTTGTAAGTAGTTGGGAGGATTATGTGCCTAGCCGGGGGACAGATGCCTAGTTGGGTTCCAGGAAAATGACTCTATGAGTGAGCACTATTGTTATTTTAATGACAATTCAGAAATGTCTGGTAAGACCAGAGACGAAGGAGCCCCCCAACCCAGTGTGTTGGTCTGCGGGCCTGGGGGTGGGAGGTACCATGTATGGACATGGGAGCAAGGCATCTGTGGTCTAGAAGGTTCTGCTCAAATCTCACCTCTCATTTGGTCAGCCAGTACCTGGAGGGCAGGAAGGGAACAGGAGCAGGTGTGAGTGGAAGAGTGCAGTGAGAGAGCGTAGGTGTGTGTCCACTAGTGTGTGTGTGTGTGTGTGTGTGTGTGTGTGTGTGCGTGCACAAGTGCAAGAAAGCCTGGCAATGGTGGTCAGGAGTGGGATCTGGCGGCCATCTGCCGAGGTCTGCAACCTAGCTATGTGACCTTGAGTCAGTCACTTAAGCTCTTTGGTTCCCTCTTAAAAATGGTGCTAATAATAACACCTACCTCAGACTGGTTGTGAGGATTAGACAAGTACTACCAATAAAACACCAATAAAACACTTTTAACAGCGCTGGGCCCCTGCCACATGACGTATGGATTCGCTCTCATTTTTATTTGCTCAGCAAGACTCTGTGCCAGGCCTGTGTAACGGCTGCACACGCAGGAGCCCCTCCCGGCCTTGCAGATAACTGACATCACTGCTGCTGCCATTTTACACATGGGGAAACTGAGGCTCAGAGAAGCCAGGCGCCTTGACCTGGGGCAGAAGGGCTGATGGGTGCAAAGCCAGATTCCCAAGCCATGTTCGTCTGTGCAGAGTCCCACGTCTAACTAAGAGCAGCCGCCTCAGGGCCAGCTGGGTACACCTGCGGGCGCTCCCACACCCTGGGAACAGCACAAAACACTGCTGCTGTCAAGGTCAGGGCGAGAGCAGTGGCGAGGGTGTGTCTTCCTGGCTTGAGGGCGCAGGTGGGTTTTCGACACTTAAATATGTGCAAATATAGCTCACGCATGCATGATAAATATGAAAGTGTGCAGACTGATGGGTGTCCAGGCTGCCCGGTGCTCCTGTATCCGGGCTCGTGTACACACACGTGCACACGCAGCCCCCGCCTGAGCTCCTAGTGGGGGAGACTCCCCTGATCTGGGGATTCCTCTCTGCTCACTCCATCCTGCCTTTGACTCTTTCCCCTCCCCCACCCCTTTTAAAGCACACCCTCAAAGCCCACACACGATGCCTAGAAATCTGTTTGGGGTTAGTACTGGTTGCAGAATGAAGGGGAGTACTGGGTGTCCAGACCACTGAGAAAAATGGTAAGGTCCATTTCCTGAGGACCTACTATGTGCCAAACACTTAATCCTTCCTCCAACCCTGGGACCACTGATCCTAGAACCTGGTCCATAGTAGACATTTAGTACTTTTTTTAAAAATAAATGAATGAGGCAAGAACTACCATGACACCCATTTTAGAGATGGGAAAACTGAGGGTTGGATTAGGTGCAGTGATTTTCCCATAATTTTGTGACTGAGCTAGGATTCATTCCAGGTTTTTTCTGACTCTAAAAACCCATGTGCTTTCTGTTGCACCCCATTGTGGAATGCTGGGAGGAAATGAAGTGTTTGCTCTCTCTCTGGTCCAGCGTGGGCTTTCCTGTTTTTGACACTCAAGGGAGACTCACAAGGGGGCTGGGGCTGGTAGGGCTGGGTATGGGCTGATAAATAGCCAGTCTGTCTGCAAGGCTGCCTTGCAGATCCAGAGATTGGCCCATCTGAGCCCTCTCCTCTTTCTCTTCAAAGCCTTCCAAGACTTCGCACTGCCTAAGGATAAAGTCCCACACCTTCACCTGACATTCAAGGTCCTTCACAGCTTGTCCCCAAGTGCCCCCACCCCGACCTCCTCTCTGGTCCCAACACCCCTCCTATGAGCTCATTCAGCTGACCTCACTGATCCTGAACTTGACCTCCTGGCTCCCTGACTCTGTTCCTGCCACCAGATTCTCACAACCACTCCACCCTGGATGCTGCCCTCCCATTCCAACCCCATCCTCTTTATCCTTGCTCCATCCTTCCTTGGTTCCCAGAGAATCCGCCCCTTCTTGGATCTCCTGAGCCCTGAAGCCCCTGCTCAGCCCATTGATCTTACGTCTGTCACTTGATTCACTCCAGGGCCCCAGCCCTCCCCTTCGCCCCCGTCTGACTCTGTGCCTCACGCATGGGGCAAGGCACAGCATAAAGTTGGAAGCTGTTCAAACTACAAAGAGAATCAGAAAGAAGAAGTGTTAGTCGCTCAGTTGTGCCCGACTCTTTGCAACCCCATGGACTGCAGCCCACCAGGCTCCTCTGTCCATGGGATTCTCCAGGCAAGAATACTGTAGTGGGCTGCCGTTTCCTTCTCCAGGGGATCTTCCTGACCCAGGGATTGAACCCTGGTCTCCTGCACTGCAGGCAGATTCTTTACCAACTGAGCTATGAGGGCAGCCCTAAGAGAATCAGAAGCAGGGGTGAAATGGCAGAAGGCTGGACTCAAGAATCAGACAATCATGGGTTAAATCCCATTCCTTCCCCCTTTCAGGCTGAGTGACATTGGGAGGGCCACTTCTCCTCTCTGCCCCTCAGTCTCTTCATCTATGAAATGAGTAAACTACATCCTGAGGGCCAAACACCACAGTGTGAGGCATCTTCCATGCTCTGCAGTACAGTGACTCAGAAAAATCACTCTGTACATCTGCATCTCTGGATTTCCCAGGTGCCACCATCCTAGGCAGAATCGCCTAGGATATCACATCATTTCCAGGAACACACTAAGCCTGTTCCTGCCTCAGGACCTTTGCACTTGCTATTCCTTCTACCCCTGATAGCTCAGTTGGTAAAGAATCCACCTGCAATGCAGGGGACCCTGGTTCAATTCCTGGGTTGGGAAGATCCACTGGAGGAGGGATAGGCTACCCACTCCAGTATTCTTGGGCTTCCCTTGTGGCTCAGCTGGTAAAGAATCTGCCTGCAATGCAGGAGACCTGGGTTTAATCCCTGGGTTGGGATGATCCTCTGGAGAAGGGAAAGGCTATACCCACTCCAGTATTCTGGCCCAGAGACTGTATAGTCCGTGGGGTTGCAGAGTCGGACACGACTGAGCGACTTTCACTTTCATTCCTTCTACCCAGAATGCATTTTGCCACATCTTGGTCTAGTTGGCTCTCTCTTGATCATTCTGATGTCAACTCACTTGTCAACTCCTTGATCACTTAATCCAGAGTAGCCCCCTTGTGGCCCCAGTTGGTCTTATCCTATTACCTTGTTTATTTTCTTCATAGCTCTTATCAGCAATGACCCCTTTTAACCATCTGTTGACTTGTGGTGACAAACATTCAACTACTTATTGGCTGTTTCCCTGCCTCCCCTGCCCCCCAGGAGAAGGCAAACTCCTTGAGTGGAGAGACTGGGTCTTACACCGCTGTTTCCCCATTGTCTGGATTAGTGCCGGATGTGACATGACTCACAACGCCTAGGTGTTGACGGAGTCCAGCACCCTTGGAACTCAGGGAGCTGGAACATAAGCCAGGCTCTGGGCTGCCCGGGTGGTCTGCGAGGACCCCTTCTCTAGCCATCTGTCCCCTTACAGACTGGGCGCTCCTCCCCAGCTCTGCCCTTGGCTGAGTCATCTTGGGCCTGGCTCCAGGCCGGGCACGGAGGAGGAGTTGGGTAAATGTTTGTGGTGTGAAATTGGACCTGTCTCAAGCTCCTCACCGCCTCCACATCTGAGGAGCCCCAGGGAAGGGGCGGCAGAGAGAGATGAAAGGAGGTGAGGAGCAGGTTTCAAAGTTGGCCCTTTCAGTGCAGATGAAAGCAGGGGGAAGGGAAGCCAACTGAGGGTGGAGGGGGAGGACTGAGGCGGGAGTGAGGAAAGCAATATTGGAGAGGAGGGGAGAAGGCAGAGGGGCGCGCTGGACCTGGGAGGCAAGGACGAGGCTCCTACTGCTGCCTGGTAACTCTTGTGAGCCCAGGGAACCTCCTCCCCTCCCTGGGTCTCAGTTTCCTGCCAAACAAGGGTGCTAATGCCCTCCTGGGAAAGGTCTGGGGCTGAGCCAGAGGCTGATGGGGATGTTTAAAGACTGTATCTACTGTCAGCAGGGATGGAAGGGTGGTGGAGGAGTTCATAGGCAGTGGGGGGTGGTTTTGGCTATGGGAAGGGTGGAGGCAGCCTAGGAGGCATTCGGAACCTCTGGACTGAGTCTGAGCCCCTCAGCCTATCTTTGAGCCCTATCAGACTTCTCTTGTTGGTTCATTGCTCAGCTTCCTGTAGACATCACAGTCTATTAATCTCCAGACACACCTACCACTTCTTGCCTTCCTATGTCTGTGCCTGGAATAGCCTTCTCCTCATAGCTACACTGACCAGACTCAGGTACACAGCTCAGTATAATTCCTGCCTCCTCTAGGAAGTCTTTCTAGACCCCTGAGGGTAGCTTCCAGTCTGGGAGCCCATAGGTAGTTAAACATCTTTGTGTCCTCATCTTGGGGTTGCCATGTAAGGCTGCACAGGCTATGCACTGGACAAACTGGAGGGAGCCATTCACATGAATGATGGTGAGAATGTTACCCATATGGAGTTGAGTAATGCAGAGATCCTTAAAGTAACTTCCTTTCCCTCCTTCTCCAATGCTTGGCGCAGAGCTAGGCACACAGTTGGCTCAGGGATCATTCACTATGTACAAGGGTTTCAGGGAATAAACAGGAAGCTCCAGACGCTTAAATTCAGTCAGCAGTGGCCATTCACCCCACCCTGATCTCCTCCTCTGGATCACTTTCTATCTGATATCCTTTCAACTTGGGCCATGGTCAGGGACTCCCCAACCCCTGCAGATCGCAAACCCTTCCAGGGACACCAACAGCGCCACAGCATCCCGTCGCCTCTGCCCACTTGCCGCTGCCTCCCTTCCCCCCGCGCCGCACCCCCCGTGCCTCTGCCTCTGAGTCTGGCTTTCTCTCCAAGTCTCCTCTTTCTGTTCCTACAGTGCAGGTCAGTTCCTCTGTCCTTTAGTTACTCCTGCCCTCTTTCCACTGGTTTTTCTTCTCTGGTCACTTCCTCTCACTGTTGGTCTCACTACCTCTCCAGGAGCCTCTCTCTTTTCTGTCTTTCTCTGTTTTTCCATTTCATTCATTCACCATGCATCAGGGAACGTCCACCAAGTGCTAGGCAGTTGTGAGGTCCTGAGGATACAGCAGTGAACTTAGACACGCATCCTTATTCTCCTAAAGCTTATCCTTTAGGGAGAGGGACAAAGTCATCAGGAAAATGGGTAGCAGGTTAGATGGTGATGAAGGATGAAAGAACATGGATATGAAGTGTGGGGACACGTTGGGGTGGGGTTGACATTTTAGAAAGGGTGGTCAGGGAAGGCTGCACTGAGAAGGTGACTCTTGAGGAAAGTCTTGGAGAAAGTGAGAGAACCAACCATGGAGATGTTAAGCGGGAGAACATTCCACGCAGAGGGATCAGGAGGTGCAAAGGCCCTGGGGTAGAGGTGGGCTGGGTGTATCCCCGGAGCTGTGAGGAGGTCAGTGTGGCTGAGCAGAGTGAACCAGGGAGGAGGTGAGCAGGGGATGGGGTCTGAGAGGTTACAGTGAGGCCACATCCTATAGGGTCTGGGCTTTTGTCCTGAGCCCCAGAGGTGACTTTGGAGGGCTTTCAGCAGAGGAGGGCCAGTGGAGGGCGGTTTGGGCCATGAGAAAGGGTGGGGCGGGAGTCAATCTGGCTCCTGTGCCCATCCTAGATTGAAGAGGGGTGAGGACAAAAGCAGAGAGAGGCAGTAATCAGGCAAGAGAAACAGGTGGCCTGGACCAGGGCGGCAGCTGCGGAGGAGGTGAGAAATGGTCAGATTCTGGAGATGTTTTTAAAGCAGAGATGACAGGCTTTGCTGATGGATTGGAGGGAGGTGTGGGAGAAAAACATAAGTCGAGGATGTTTGCAACATTTTTGACCTGAAAAGCTGGAAGGATGAAATTATCTTTTTTTTTTTTTTTTTTACTTTTGGTGGAGGACCGAGGCTGAGCCCAGGTCACTGCTGCGTCTGTCACACCGGGTTCTCTCTCTTTATCCTGAGTTTCCCGTCTCTCTGCCACTGTTCTCGAATCTGATTCCTTTGTCTCGTAGGCTCCCGGCGGCCCGGTGCACCGCTCTCTCCCCTCCTCCCTCACCGTCGCCGCCCCCGCGCCCTGCCCCGTCCCCACCCCCTCTGCCCGCCGTCTGTCCACAGGCGCTGGCGGGGGAGCAGGCAGCAGGCGTCGGCCCCGGGCGGGGGTCTCACCGGACGGGCCGGTTGGCGGCGTCGGGGTCCCGCGCCGTCACCACGCCGACCAGGGAGCCCACCTGCGCGTCCTCCTGTACCTCCAGGAGGCCGGAGGGCGGCCGGAACTCGGGGGGCTCGTCCACGTCGATCACGGCCACGCGCACGATCGCCTGGTCGCGGAACGTGCCCAGGTCGGCGAAGCGGGGGTCCACGAACTTGTTGAGGGCCTCCAGGACCACGGTGTGCACCGGCTGGGACTCGAAGTCCAGGCGCTGGAGGGGTGGGCGGAGGGAGCAGAGGGCCGGTGAGTGGGCTGGGGTCTACTCCACACCTCCAGGTGGACAGAGCCCAAGTCTGGGGGGCGGGGGGCGCTGGCCTGGCCTCGAGGCGGAGGGCAGGGCTGACCCCCGAGAGGGCGGGGCTGACCCCAGAGAGGGCGGGGCTGGCTTAAGGTCACAGTTCGCTGAGGCATCACTGACTCAATGGCGTCACTGACACTGTCGGGTTACAGGTAGAGAAAGTCAGGCCCTGCTGGTGACAGTCTTGCTCAGGGACACAGGGTCACATACTGACGTCCAGCCTTCCTGCTACCCGGCACACGAGACTGGCTTTAATTTATTAATTTACAAAGCACTGTGTGCTAGTGTTCTAAATGTAGCGACTCATCTAATTTTACAGCATCCCAAAGAGGCTTGTATTATTATTATCATCCTATTTGACACGTGAGGACATTGAGGCCCAGCAGGCTCTGTAACTTGCCCTAGGTCACTTAGCAGTTAGTCCCTGGCAGAAGCGGGATTCACATCCCCGGCAGTGCAGCTGTCAAGTCCCAGGCCTTAACCCCACGGCAGGAAAGGCACTGGATCTGTGGCTGCCCAGCTGTGTGTCTGCGGGCAATCTCGGCCTCTCTGGGCCTTGGGTGGGAGGGTGAGAGAGACCTTCCTGGTGTATTATTGGTGGCAGCTGCTAATGTGAGTTGAGCCTGATAAGCTGGGCAGCCTTAGAGCTTCCCTCAGAGACCTGGCTAAAGCCATGCCGAGCCCTGGTCCTCATCAGGGAGTGCTGGTGGGTGACCCTCTGATGGACAAGCTGCATGGCTGCGTGGGCTCTGGCCTCCTAAGGACAACGCCTTTAGAGCAAAGAGAAAGGGCAGTGGTGGGACATGGGCACCACTGTTACATGCTGGGGGAGCCATCTGGGCAGCTAGGGCCACCTTCCTGGAGAACTGCTCTCCGTCTAGGGACCCTCCTTTCCTCTCAGAACCTCCCCTCCACACTCCCCCTTCTCTAACAGAAAAAAAAAGAACAAGAAAAGAAGGGCTACCTCCTCCCCCTGTCCTGTTGCCTGGGAAATCAGGATGCAGGGAGGCAGGCGCGGACCTGGCCTGGGAGTGAGCGATGGGCTCTGGAGCCAGGTCATCAATCAGGCGGGGGCTCTGCTCCCCGAGCCACCACTGACTCCACAGAGACACCTCAGGCGCCACTGCTGGAGCAGGCCGGGGGGCGGGGCGTTATGGGGCAAGAGGCAGGGGGGGTGGGGGAGTTACTACAGGGGCATCACCGGGGAGGAGAGCAAATGCTGTGCTGGGGTCCCCAGGCTGGGCCTGGGGCCTGATTCTACTGCTCTGTGATGCTGGGCCGCCCCAGGCCTCCAGTTCCCCCGTCTGTGAAATGGGCTCATCTTACAGTGAAGACAAGTGGAGGTCAGAAAGCCATGTAATGTTTAAAAGGGTGGATTCTGGAGACAGACTCCCTGGGGCCCTACAACTTCTCTGTAAGATGCTTGGCCTTGGATGCAAATGACTGAACTCAGGGCCTCAGATTCTCGCCTATGAAATGGGCAATAATAGTACTGAGAGGGTTGTTGTAGAGATTAAATGAGTTAATACATGGAAAGCATTGGAAAGGAGGCTGGCACACTATTAACACTTCACTGTAAGTATTAGCCTCACATTCTTATCCTAGTTGAAGAAACAGAGTTTTCTCTATCCTCAAACCCTCACGGCCAGGGAGAGAGTTTGATTATCGAGTGAATAAAGGGCTGTCAGGGAAGATGTTTTTGTGGGTCCCAGGAGGTAGAGCCTGGGCTGACAGGAGCAAGATAGACTGTGGCTGAATGGGAGAAGGAGGAGCAGGACACTGGTAGGGAGTGAGCATCCCATCCCTGGGAGTATACAAAAGCTTATGACTGTTTGTAGGCCAGGGCAGGGGACTCAGACCTCCCGTGGAACAGCAGGGTTGGAATGGGCAGCGTCAAAGGCCTGTGCACCCCTGAGTTGCCAAGCCTGTGACCAAGCCCTGGAAGATGATTTTTGCTTTTATATCTGACCTCTGCTTTCCCTAGCGGGTGCTGAGTTTGCTGTTTGAACTTCTGGTTCCTGGGCTGGTCAGTAAGGAGGCTGTTAGACTCAGGAAGGAAAGAGCTTTGGGGTCACCAGACCTGGGTTCAAATCCTACTCTATCCCTTACAGGTATAATCTTGGGCAAGCCCTTTTACCTTTCTAATTCTCTGTTTTATTACTTGTAAAAACGGTCATATTATGTTTTCCTTCGGAGGGTAACATGAAGATGAAAGGAAACAATGAGTGTGAAGGGCCTGGTGTGAATTTAAAGTAGCACAGCATAGGTGTAAGAGCACAGATTCAAATCTGGATTGACTCCTGGCTCTTGACAGCTAGCTGTGCAACCTCGGACAAGTCACTTAATCTCTCTGTGCCTCATGTTCTCCTTTGTAAAACGGGAAGGACAGCATCAGCGTTTCCCCAAGTTGGTCCAGCATCTCTGGAGAGACTTCATCCCTGGAGTGAAGTGGGATAGGGTATTTGGCTGCTCAGTGACCCCCTTCCCGACCCTGCTGCCCTGGGGTTGCCTCCCCCATCGCTCCCAAGGCGGCCGCACCTTCTGCACTACGATGATGGCCTCCTGCGTGTCGCTGTCTGTGATGACCTTGAATACGTGCCCGCCGCTGCCGCTCTCCTCCCTGAGGTGGTAAGTCATGTCTGTGTTTTCGCCCACGTCTGAGTCCTCGGCCTTCACACGTCCCACGGCCGTGCCGATGGGGGCCGACTCCTGAATGCTGAACTGGTACATCTCTGTAGGGGATACAGCTGTGAGCGGGGATGGGAAGGCAGCCCCTCCCCCAGCTTCCACCAGCGCTAGGGGAGGAGAGGGGGAGGTCTCAGATGGGCTCCTTGGAGCTCCCTGCTTGGCCAGGACTGGTACTGGGAGAGGCGCTTCCTCTGCAGAAATGTGGGATGCAGTGCAAAGAGAAGGGTTCTAATTCTGACCTTGGCTTTATCCCCTGATTGATTTGAGAAAGTGCCAGCAGTTCTTTGGGACTCAAGTGTCCTCATCTGCCCAGTAAGGGGACAGAGAAGCACAGTGATAAAGGCTACGGCTCTGGAGTCAGTCCTGCATGTGTAATTCTGAGCTCTGGTTTTCCTCATCTGTAGAATGGGAAGAATAATAGTGCCTTCCTAATAGCACTGTCATTTCCCAACTAACTGAGATGATGATGCATGTCAATTACTTAGTATAGACACTAGTATCTGTTACCTACCCAATAAATGGGACACATTGCATTCATAGTAGGGCTGCACACTGACTTTTTTGTTGCTGTGGATGTTAATGATACTGGTTCCTTCATTTCCACATACTTATTGAGCATCTGTGATGTCCCAGATGCAGCTGTACACACTGGGGTTCCAGCAACAAGCAAAACACACCCAAATCCCAGGGTTCACAGTGCTTTCCTCTTAATGGAAGGAGAAAGACACTAAACAATCACATCAGTAAAATAGGATGGAAAATGGTACTTGGGAGAGAAATAAAACTGGGGAGGGAAATGGGGAATGATGATGAGAGTGTGTGTGGAGTTTTAAATAGGGTAATTGGGACTTTCCTGGTGGTTCAGTGGTTGAGACTCTGTGCTTCCAATGCTGGGGGCGAGGGTTCAATCCCTGGTCGAGAAACTAAGATCCCACATGCTGCAGAATGCAGTCAAAAAAACTGTAAATGGGGTAATCGAGGAAAAGACAACATTTCTGCAAAAGTCTGAGGGAGGTGAGGCAGTGAGTCAAGCAGATATTTGGGAAAAACAGAGGGAACAGCAGGTGCAAAGGCCCTGAGGTGGGTGCAATGCCTGGCATGCTGGAAGAATAGCAAGATGACCACTGTTACCCGAGTGGGGAAGCGGAGGGGAAGCCAGAAGGAGCGATGGTCAAGTAGAACTCAAATGGCTCCCTGCTCTCCTCCCAGAGTGGAGATGAAGGTGGGGGTGATTTGCTAAGTGATGGGCCCGCCCAGGGGAAGCAGGGGCTGTGGCACTCGGGATGTGCCTCTCTTGGAGCCCCCACTGGTCTGGACACCCTTGTGTGGTGTGGCTGTCTCTGACTGACCCTCACATAAGTGTGTCGGGGTGACTCCTAACACAAGCTGACCATGCCACCCCCTACTCTTTGCCATAGCTCCCCGCTGCACTTGGGGTGAAGTTGTACAAGCCCCTTGGCCCCTGCCGACTTCTGCAGCCTCATGCCTCCAACTCCCCACCTCAACGTGAGCCTCAGCCTGGCTGAAGTTCTTGGAATTCCTTCACGATGACTTGCTCTGTCCCACCTCTAGACATTTCCTTTCTTTATTCTCCTCTCTACCTTCACTTCCCCTGTTTCCCCTCCTTTTTAGTCTCACTGACTATTACCTCCTATAACGGGGAAGGTTCCCAGACCTCCAGGCTCTGATCCTGTGTGTCCAGGGCCCCCAAGCTTATTCTGTTGTAAGGATTACTGCATCTCCCTATTACTTCCTGTTATTCTCCCTCCGTCTCTCTTTTCCCTCCCTCCCTCCGGGCTGTGAGCTCCTGCAAGGCAGGCACCACATCTCTTATTCATCAGGCATTCATGGTGCCTGGCAGAACACCAGGCTGTCACATAAATGGAATGTTTGAGTGACTAGTGAGTGAATGAATGAAAAGCAGCATGAGTTACTAGTATACACTCACTAGATTAACACAAATGAAAGAAATCTGACAATACCAAGTATCAGTGAGGATATGGTATGATGGACACATGCATTTCTTCACGGGGGAAAACAGTTTGGCTTTATTTAGTAAAGTTGAAGATGAGTTTATTCTGCTCCTCTGTAGACTAATGAAATTGCATGCAGAACAGCAGTAGGACACATACAACCATATTCAAAGTGGTGTCCTCGGTAATAACCTCAGACCGGAAACAACCCAAATGTCCACTGGCAGGAGAATAGATAAATCATGGAATACTATACAGCACTAAAAATGAATGAATTCTAGCTAGAAGCAATAACATGTGATTTCACAAACATAATTTGGGGAGATAAAAAAACAAGACGAATCATTTGTCTTGTGAGTTTCCATTTAGATAAGGTTAAAAAACTTATAAAATTAAACTATAATGTTAGATGATGCCTACATGGGTGAATCAACCCTAAAGGACTGGATGAAGGAGATGTGGTATATATGCATATTTATACATAATGAAATACTACTTAGCCATAAAAAAGTGAAATTTTACCACTTGCAGCAAGATAGATGGACTTGGAGGGCATTATGCTAAGTGAAATAAGTCAGACAAAGAAAGACATATACTGTATGGTATCACTTATATATATAATCTAAAGAATATAAAAAAAAAGAAACAGATTCACAGATACAGAGAACAAATTAATGGTTGCCAGCGGGAAGAGGGAAGCGGGCAGGGGCAATATAGGAGGAGGAGATTGAGAGGTACAAATTATTAGGTTTAAAATAAACTACAAGAATATATTGTACAACACAGGGAATATAGCAACTAATTTATAATTAGTTATAACTATAAATGGAGTAAACCTTTAAAAATTATGAATCACTATATTGTACACCTATAATTTACATAATATTATACATCAAAGAAAGTGAAAGTGGTAGTCGCTCAGTTGTGTCCAACTCTTTGCGATCCCATGCATAGTAGCCCGCCAGGCTCCTCTGTCCACGGAATTCTCCAGGCGAGGATACTGGAGTGGGTTGCCATTCCCTTCTCCAGGGGATCTTCCCCACCCAGGGACTGAATCCGGGTCTCCTGCATTGCAGGCAGATTCTTTACCATCTGAGCCACCATGGAAGCCCCTATTATTCACCAACTATACTTCAATAAAAAAGAAAAAGAAAAGCAAATAGATGATGATCATGAAAGTGGGCAGTGGTTAACTCTGGAGGAAGAGGTAGGGGGAGAAGTTATGATCAAGAAAGGACTTGTGGCAGCTTCTGGGTCCTGGTCAGTGGTTACAAGAATGTTTGTTTTGTAATTATGTGTTGAACTGGACATTTATATTTTATGCATTTCTGTCTCTGTGCTGTATTTCCCAATAAAGAAATAAAGAAAGAATAGATGAGCAACACGGCTATATTAAAAATGGATGACCAACAGGGTCCTACTGTCCAGCACAGGGAACTCTGCTCAATGTTATGTGGCAGCCTGGATGGGAGGGGAGTTGGGGGGAGAATGGATACACGTGTATGTATGGCTGAGTTCCTTTGCTGTCTGCCTGAAACTATCACAACACTGTTAATTGGCTATACTCCGATATAAAATGAAAAGGTTAAAAAAAAAAAAGAAAGAATACATGAATGAATAAACAAGAGTCTTCCAGGGGCCCTGGCCCCTCTGCTGCCCCTCCCCTTCCAGCTCAGGGCTGGCACACAGCCTGGCACACAGAAAACTGGGTGGCCCCCGCCCCTTCACAGGGGCTTTGAAGCTTCCCCATCAAGTGAGTGGGGCTGGGCTGGGGGAGTGGCTGAGGGCGGCTGCTGGACCGGGTTCCCCCGGCAACAGCAAAGACGGGGAGCTGGCTGGCGGGCTCTGCCCACCCCGCTCTGCGTCTGGACTGAGGCGCTTAGGCTGTGCTGTGCTCTCAGCTAAGGGATTGGATTCCCTTATCTCTCGGGGGTCAGTCCCCTGTGGCAGGGCCTAATGTGAGAGCAGCAGACCTCAAGTAATGACTCGCCTGATAGGAATCAGCCCAGCTCCCCGCGGCATTTAGTCTCTGCCAGCTTCGTCGGCTTCCTGGGCACAGCTTTCTCGTCTGAAGCTGGGACGGAAGGGCTGGCTGGGCTGACGGGAGGTGGGGGACTGGGCCAGAGAAGTCACCCCACTCTGTTGTGCCTGGGGAGGCGGAGAGTGGAAAGCACTCTCCCCCAGTTCAGAAGCAGAGTCCTGCAGGCTCAGAGGAGAAGGGAAAGACCTGTCTCTCCAGACCCTAGCATTTCTATGCAAAATGATAGGTGCCCCTGGGCATGGCTGCAGCCTCTGTCTGCATGTCTAAAGGACCCCTGTGTCTGTCCCTTCATCCCCAGTGTACCTTTGTAAGCTCGGGTCAGTAGCAGATCACACATAATAAGCATGACAGGGGTGTGTGCAAGGACCAGCTGGGGTGGGTGGACAGACGGGGGCACACTCTTGACCAGAAGCAAGCTGCAGGGAGGGGTGGTAAGTGTGTTACATGGATGTGTGGAAAGTCAGACAACTTTGGGGCTGTCTCCTGCAAAAGGCAAGATTGGAGGGTGGAGGGGGCTAGTGGGTGACTTGGACAGATAGACAGATGGACAGATCAGGGAGTCCCTCTATGGTGAGAAGGCTGCGGGGCAACTTGGGGTCAGAGGGTGGCTGGGAGGGATGACCAGACAGACACACAGATGCACTCCTCCCTCCGGGAAGGCCTCACTCACTCTGCGGGAAGCGGGGTGGGTTGTCGTTGACATCAGTGACCACAATGGTGACGGTCGTGGAGCCGGAGAGGCCGCCCAGCTGGCCCGCCATGTCTGTGGCCTGGATCACCACCTCGTAGCGCTCCTGGCTCTCGCGGTCAAGGTCGGGCACAGCCGTCCGGATCACACCTGTGGGTGGGGGGGTTGAGGCCAGGGATGCCCCTTGCCAGCTGCCAACCGATACGGAGACCCCTCCCCAAGAAGAGGCCATGTTCATTCAAGTTCAGGAGGGGAGTCACTGATGCAGAAGACACTGATACGACTACCATGCAGGTGTGGGGCTCAGCACACACACACACACACACACACACAGACACACACACGTGCGTGGGTGCACACACATGCACGCACGCACACACACGCACACGCACACACACGCTTATACAGATAGGCTCACACATAACTCACACTCAGCACTCCACACACATACCCTCACACACACACTGCTCTCACACACATCAGATTCACGCATGCATGTGTCTTCAGTCGCTCAGTTCGTGTCTAACTCTGTGACCCCTGGACTGTAGCCCGCCAGGCTTTTCTGTCCGTGGGGTTTTCCAGGCCAGAACACTGGAGTAGGTTGCCATTTCCTTCTCCAGGGGATCTTCCTAGACCAGGGATCAAACCCACGTTTTCTGCATTGTAGGTGGATTCTTTACCGCTGAGCCACTGGGGAAGCCCAGATACATGCACATATACTTTAAAACACACACCCTCCCACCCACTTATACACATAAACACACACGTTATATACAGACATATTAACATACATCCACACACTCACACACATACATGCACATTCACACACTCACAGGCAACACAAAAGTAATAGAATATGGACTGTTTAGTTTACCAGAAAGAGGCATCGGGCCTAGAATCAGGCACTGTGTGACCCCCCCTTGAGCCTCCGATCCCACTTTTGGGGTCTCAGTTTCCCCATGTGAGGGGGAATCCCAACATTTTCTGGGTGAGCCTGGCCTCTGTCTGATTCATCTCTGGGTCAGTGTCAGTCAGCCCAGAGCCAGCCCCAGTGTAGCAGCTTGGTGAATGTTTAACTGAGTGAACTTGCCTGACAGTCACCCTCAAACACACTCATGATGGAGTCACATTCACCTGCACATAAACACTGATATGTCTCACACACAAGGGTGAAACAGATCACCAGTCCAGGTTAGATGCATGAGACAAGTGCTCAGGGCTGGTGCACTGGGAAGACCCAGAGGGATGGGATGGGGAGGGAGGTGGGAGGGGGGATCAGGATGGGGAACACATGTAAATCCATGGCTGATTCATGTCAATGTATGGCAAAAACCACTATAATATTGTAAAGTAATTAGCCTCCAACTAATAAAAACAAATGGGAAAAAAAAGAGAACAACAACAAAAAAACACTGATATGTCTCACATACTTAGATGTATTATTAACACATTAATACATTAATACACAGGTAACACCTATGAGGTCACACGCACAGGCACACACATAGCTATTAGCACACACTTATTCTCACAGACACACACATACACCCTCCACGATTAAGTCATCCCCAGCCCTGGGGACCCCAGCCCCTTCCTCCGGGGCCCAGCCCTAGATTCTCTGTCCAGGCATCAGCTAATTGCTGATCAGACAATCCTTCAAACTGTTAATGGAAGCAGGCGGAGGGGCAGCAGGAGGGGGTGGCTGTGAGATGAATTCTGAGCAGGGGAAGGCTGGACTTCTGGTCTCCCTGCACACACGCTTATACGGTGGGAGATCAGGAGGGGGGGGAGCCGATGCACCAGTCAGAGCCCCCCCACCCCTGACCCACTTCAACCTGTGAGCGCCAGGTGGTGGCAGGTGGTGCCCAGGGCCTGAGCGCCAGGTGGAGTCACGCACCAGCAGCCCCACGATGCGCCCCATAAAACACAACCTCTCCCTCCTGATGTCCCCAGACAGTCCCTAGACTCCAGTAAAGGCAATGGAACGGGAGAAGAGGCTATAGTGTGTGTGTGTGTGTGTGTAACTGGGGGAGCCAGAAGTGGTGCATCTAGAGGGGTGGGCCTGCTTTTGTGGGATCCCATGGAGATACGGAAAGTGCAGTCTGTCTAATCAGGGGTCATAGAGACCCTCTATCGGTGGCCTTCAAGACTCCTCAATAAGCTCCCTCCTGACTCCTCCTTGGCCTGGACTGATCTTTCCAAGGGCAGGAGAGACTCGGAAGCAGACGAACTTAGAATAAATCCCAGATCTGCCATTTGTTGACCAGGTGATCTTGAGCAAAAGCCCTCACCTTTCTGGAACCTCAGTTCCCTCATTTATAAACTGGGACCATCACATACTTCCCCAAAGAGCAGGATTTCCCCAACTGGCACCGTGGACATCCTGGGCAGGATAATTCCTCCCACGAGATGCTGGTAGCAGCACCCTCCCCCTCCCAGCTACAGTTCCAGACTTTGGAAAATGGTCCCTGGGGGGCAAAATTGGTTGAGAATCACTGGGGTAGAGTTTCATCTCATGAGAATTGCATGTGACAGTAACAACAATAACTGACATGGATGTGCATTTACCCTGTGCTTGCTGTGGTTCTAAGCACCTTAAGGGAACTGCCTCATTTAAATTTCTCCACAGCCTTATGAGGACAGTGCAGTGATTATACCCAGTTTACAGATGAGGACATGGAGGCACAGATAGGTTAAGTACTGGCCCAAGGTCGCACATGTAGAAAGCGCACAGTGAGGATTCCAGCAGGCTCTCTGGGGCCAGAGCCCATGCTGTGGACGGCTCTGCTGGACCTCAGTAAGGATGGAGGGCCCCTGCCCAGCCAGCCTCGTATCCCCCGCCCCACCCAGCCTCAGGTACAAGGGGAGAGTGCAGGCCTCTGATAGACTGATGCTGCTTATGCGGTTCTCCGTCCTAATCAGGAAAGCCATGCTTCCAGTCATGCACTGGGCTCCTTGCCCATCTCCCCGGGGCTGGACCTCAACACTGGGGCTGTCAGAGGAATCCCTTCTGGGGACCAGGGCAGGACCCGAGGCTGGGATAGGGCAGGACCCGAGGCTAGGATAGCAGGGGCTGTACTGGGAAGGTGGCCTTGTGTGTCCTTTACCCTGAGGGGCTGAAGGAGGAAAGGAGCAGGAAGGGAAGAGAGAAGAGAAGAGGGAGGATGGAGGTGGCCGAGAGAGGGAAGGAGAGAGAGACAGAGAGGAATCGGAGAGGTCAGAGCGGAAAGAGACGGAGAGTGCACAGAAGAAGGGGAAGGAGGGGAGGAGAGGGAAAGGGAGACCTCGGAGCGACAGAGGCCTGGAGAGAAAGTGAAATAAAGGAGAAAGCAAGGCCAAGGACAGCAAGGGCAGCGTGGACAGACCTCCTCCGGGATGCCAGAGAGGCAGACGGACAGGGAGGGGTGGAGAAAGAAGGTGGGAAGGCGGAAAGGAGAGCGCAGACAGATGGACCGACAGGGGCGTGACCACGGGCCAGAGACGTGGTGGGGGGCAGAGAGGCGGGCTGGGGGGGGCGGGCCAGTTGAGCACTTACAGTGGGCTAAAGAAAAAGTGAAAGTGAAGTTGCTCAGTTGTGTCCGACCCTTTGCAACCCCATGGACTGTAGCCCACCAGGCTCCTCCGTCCATGGGATTTTCCAGGCAAGAATACGGGAGTGTCATTATCAGAGAAATGCAAATCAAAACCACAATGAGGTACCATCTCACACTGGTCAGAATGGCTGCTATCAAAAAGTCTACAAACAATAAATGCTGGAGAGGGTGTGGAGAAAAGGGAACCCTCTTACACTGTTGGTGGGAATACAAACTAGTACAGCCACTATGGAGAACAATGTGGAGATTCCTTAAAAAACTGGAAATAGAACTGCCATATGACCCAGCAATCCCACTGCTGGGCATACACACTGAGGAAACCAGAATTGAAAGAGACACGTGTATCCAATGTCTATCGCAGCACTGTTTACAATAACCAGGACATGGAAGCAACCTAGATGCCCATCGGCAGACGAATGGATAAGAAAGCTGTGGCACATATACACAATGGAATATTACTCAGCCATTAAAAAGAATGCATTTGAATCAGTTCTAATGAGATGGATGAAACTGGAGCCTGTTATACAGAGTGAAGTAAGTCAGAAAGAAAAACACCAATATGGTATATTAACACATATATATAGAATTTAGAAAGATGGTAACGATGACCCTATATGTGAGACAGCAAAAGAGACACAGATGTAAAGAACAGACTTTTGGACTCTGTGGGAGAAGGCGAGGGTGGGATGATTTAAGAGAATAGCATTGAAACATGTATATTATCATATGTGAAACAGATCGCCAGTCCAGGTTCGATGCATGAGACTGGGTGCTCAGGGCTGGTGCACTGGGATGACCCTGAGGGATGGGAGGGGGAGGGACGGGGGAGGGAGGGTCAGGATGGGGAACACATGTGCCCATGGCTGATTCATATGAATGTACAGCAAAAACCACCACAATATTGTAAAGTAATTAGCCTCTAATTAAAAAAAAAAAGAATACTGGAGTGGGTTGCCATTTCCTTCTCCAGGAGATCTTCCCTACCCAGGGATTGAACCCAGGTCTCCCACATTGTAGGCAGATGCTTTACCATCTGAGCCACCAAGGAAATCTATGGGCTGAGCTTTGTCATTTACATCTAGGCTCTCACTGATGCGGAGTCTGGTGATGGGGCCACTGTGCATGGATGAGCTTGTGGACCAAAACGTCAGTGACCCCGGCTCTGAGTGGGTCTGGGAGCAGGGGTCTGACTGAGATCTATGCCTGTGGGTGAGGTGCCACGCTTGTGTGACTGGCCTCCTTGCTGTCCCTGTCAGTTCTGACTCCAGAGGAACTGGGGACACTTAAGTCTTCATCCCTAGAAACAGGTCATGAAGCCGTGCTGAGTGTGTGAGCAGGTGCCCTCTCTGGACAATGAGGAGGTGCTGCCTCTGGACCCTGCCCCCAGGGCCACACTCAATGACAGGTTGCTATGGTGATAGCTCCCGATGAACCACTCCTGCTGGGATTCATGCCTTGGGTCAGCCCCTCCCACACTGACTCCAGCCTGGGCCGTGGGACTGGCTTTGGCCAGCAGGACATCAGCAAGTGCGACAGAAGCAGAGAGACTTGATAAAC